CTGCACGATGCATGGACACGTATGCATCCTGGAGGAGACCCCCACGGAGGACGAGCAAAAGATCAAGAAGCACGCTTCTATGGACGCACACAGGCTAGCACGCATGGAGCGATACGCCTATGTCACGCAGGGCAAGTCAGATTTCCAGTCGACGGACATTTTGTGCGTGGTGGCAGATGCAGTGCACGTGGGAAGTGACGATTGGCTGAACATCATGGTGTACAACCACACGACGGACAAAGTTTGGGTGCGCCCGCCGCAGGCGGGCTTTTTTTGGCAAGCAACAGCATATTTCTGAGGCGTTTTAGGCAAGAGGCGAGGTACGTCAGAGCCTTGCTTAAGTTGACCGTTTTGGGTGCCATTTTCGTAGCGTTTGGGTCCGACCAAAATCGTTTTTCCGAGGCGAGGTACGCGTATCCCCGCTCAGGCTCGGTATGGGGCGGAGTCTTTGTATTGTATTTTATATAAAGATAGGTACGCGTATCCCCGCTCACCCCTGGGTTTCGGGATTGGCCTGATAAAGGCTCCCAGGCGCCCTTCTACTGTTGAGTAGGTACGCACAGCCTTGCTTAAGTTGACCGGGGCCGGGGCCCGTAGCGAGGAGCGCATTTTGGGCGCATTTGGGCCCCCAAAAAGGTACGCCAGATCCCCGCTTAAGTTGGCCGGGCGGTCCCCTCAAAATGGGTCCCTGGGTAGTTATATGCAAGCATCATTTGTTTAGCACGCTGTTCCTAAACCCTAAACCCCTAAGCCGTAAGCAGTAGTTTTTAAAACCTCAACCTTCTGATGGTCTAACGAATGAGACAGCGACTGTCATTCAGAAGCTACAAATCTTGGAGGAGACCCCCACTGACTCCACTCGGATCGGTCGGCAGGGCTTTGTTGCCAAGGTTTTTGGTTCTGTGATCCGTTCTCGTGATTGGAATGAATATTGAAATTCTTTGGACGTCGCAGGTCAGGGTATTGTAATACGTATACCTATATTGACCCTGGTCTGACGTATTAAAAAAGTTAAAATCTTTAGAAAATAGTTGCGTTTGGTCATGCCTGACAGCGCATACTCTGAGACTGCATCGACGATAATTCGTGCACATAAGCAAGTAAATTTTGACGAGGCTTTGATACTTGCATTTACCTTGAAAGGTTTGTCGTGCTACTTTGTTCTGTCTGAGCTATGTATCGTCCAGGCTCATGGCTCATTTGTGTTAGTCACTGCTTGATTTCCTGGCAGTGAGCTTACAACAATAAGTTCTCGAAGATATTTGTGGTGTCCCTCTGTAGTCGCTTTTAGTGGTTGCGAGCTGGGATAAGTATGTGCCGTCAATTTTTGTGGGTCAGTATAGAAGCTAGTCCCATAGCCGGTCTTCTTGCCTTAGTTCTAGTCGCCGCATTCTCTCAGTTCTGCGTTGGTTGGCTCACTTATCTTGCGAGTGGTTTCGGATTGCTCTGCGGTTGCTGCAGTGACTACCTTCTGAACACGATTTTATTGGCGAGTGAAATCAATGGATGTATATGTGTTGCTTCTATTGTTCTGATGTTTTGGGCCCTGTGGTTTGCAGGTTGTTTTGGTTACACAGGTGTGACATGGCTGTGTGGCCCTGCCTGAAATACCCTTGAAATGCGCTCGCTCTGTGCTTACGCTGCACTTGCTGTGAGCTTGCTCTGCGTCGCTGCAAAACTGGTGCAGATCCCCCTGATATGCATGAGTTGTGCGGTTCATTGCACTGCATCCGCAATTCGCCCTTCGCTTGTGTGGCTTGTTTCTTGTAATAGGCTGCAACTGCGCTAGAAACGCACTTGATCTGCGTTCGGTCTGTGGTTTCTCTGAACTCATGCATGCAATCATCCTTACCGCACAATCTGCCTGAACATTGGAATGTGCATCAATTGCTTTCAAAGGCACTTGTGAGCAAGTGCAGCGCGCATGAAATGCGCCTCAAAGACAGCTGAGGTGCACTTGAGACGCGCTTTGAAACCCGCTTGATCTGTGATCGTTCTTTGGTTTACAAGAAGCCCCTGCAAACCTCGATCATTGCCATTGAAATCCGCATGTAAAGCGCTTGCAACGCGCTTCATCTGTATTTGCTTTTGGCTCCGTTTTTAAACGATGGGAACCCTCCTTACCATTGAAATGCGCTTGAGATGCGCTTGAAACGCGCTTGATCTGTGATTGCTCTTTGGTTTCGTTGAAGCCCCTGCAATCCTCACTATCATTGAAATGCGCTTGAAACGCGCTTGAAACGCGCTTGATCTGTGTTTGGTTTTGGCTCCGTTTTAAACGGTGGGAACCCTCCTTACCATTGAAATGCGCTTGAAATGCGCTTGAAACGCGCTTGATCTGTGATTGCTCTTTTGTTTCTTTGAAGCCCCTGTAATCCTCATTATCATTGAAATGCCCTTGAAACGCGCTTGGAACGCGCTTGATCTGAGTTTGGCTTTGGCTTCGATGGTTACTATGGAATCCTGGTTACCATGGCAATGTGCTTGAGACGAGCTTGATCTGTGATTGCTCTTTGGTTTCTTTGAAGCTCCTGCAATCCTCATTATCATTGAAATGCGCTTGAAATGCGCTTGAAATGCGCTTGAAACGCGCTTGATCTGTGTTTGCTTTTGGCTCCGATTGAAACTCCTTACCATTGAAATGCGCTTGAAGCGCGCTTGATCTGTGATTGCTCTTTGGTTTCGTTGAAGCCCCTGCAATCCTCATTATCATTGGAATGCGCTTGAAACACGCTTGATCTGTGTTTGGTTTTGGCTCCGTTTTAAACGATGGGAACCTCCTTACCATTGAAATGCGCTTGAAATGCGCTTGAAACGCGCTTGAAACGCGCTTGATCTGTGATTGCTCTTTGGTTTCGTTGAAGCCCCTGCAATCCTCATTATCATTGAAATGCGCTTGAAACGCGCTTGATCTGTATTTGCTTTTGGCTTCGTTTTAACCTATTTGGAATCCTCCTTACCATGGAACTGTGCTTGAAACACGCTGGAAACTCGCTTGATCTGTGATTGCTCTTCGGTGTCTTTGCAAGCTCTTGTAATCATCATTTCCATTGAAATGCGCTTGAATCGCCCCTGAAACGCGCTTCGGTCTGTGGTCTCCCCACAACCCCTCTTATGAGCAAACCCCTTGATAGAGAAGCACAGACATCGTGCACATATGTGCACATGAGAGACGTCTGGTTCGGTTTACCCGCGCCAAACCTACGGACATAGGTCAGTTTAACCCAAAAAGTCGCAAGCCAAGCCCTCAACTTCAAGCCCTTTATGCAGCATGGAAGCAAAGATCTTGCATTGGCCAGCACTGCAACACAATCCAACTTCGCATGGAACAGCTTGGAAAAGCTGGGCCTCCAAAACATGACACATGACTTGGATTTGAGGGATTGTGAAGCAGAAACGTTTGATCCGTGGTTCCTAATTTCGATGTTACTTTCGCGACGGATGTTGAAAAATAGCCAGCTCCGCAATCTTCACACATGACCTCTGCCAAAATCAGACCCGGCCCGAGCCCCTAGGTACGCCCATCCCCGCTGGTAGGGTATCCCCGCTTAAGTTGCTCCCCAATTTGATATGTAGCTGTGACGGTTGAAGACTGTGAGGAATATCTGTTTGAACTCGTCTATTCATGTGGTACATGTAAAGAAGCTACCCTAACCCGCAAACCCTGAGCCCTAAGCCCGTTGAAGAGGTCTGATGTCTTGGGCGAGCTATATGGATACCACTTACGGAGGCCCAGTTCATGGCAGCCCGGCGGCGACCGTGCTTCTGCTGGTAGGACTACAAGCAGGGCTATTGGGGTGGGCTTTAGGGTTCTGGGTTTAGGCTTAGTCATACGGGGTTCGAGTTGGGCATGAAACGTTGAGGTGCACGGGCTCCACATAAGGATTGCTAAACCCTAAACCCTAAACCTGGAAATGCTGCAGGGCTTAGAGGGCTCAGGTTTAGAACTGCTGGGTGTGCATGCACGGAAGAGTCAAAAGGCGACGACGGTTGTCACCCAGCTGTCCTCCAAATTCGGTAGTTCATGAATCTTACAAGTTCTAGGCGGTGTGCTTGAAAGTTCACGTAGGGAACAAAAGAGCATGATTGTATTAGGGATAAAACCCGTCTCATCAGGGTAGTTTCCTCCAAGTAGGGTCGCTTGGGATGCCGTACTGTTTTTGGAAAGCTAAACAGGGACCCTCATTTAGAGAACTACCTCTCTGAGCACTTGGAGGCACTTGAACCGCAGGGTAGCAGCAGGATGGGGTTTCAGACTTCAGCGAGAGTTACTATAGGGGCCTAAACAATTACCAATACTACTTTGTGGGCTTCTTATTGCAACTATAGTATACTTGGCCCCAAAACCCTATTCTAATTATTAGGGCCCCTGTACTAAACCCCTTATAGGATCCCCTAAAGGAGCCCTTTAAAAGGAACGCCCAAAACCCTGTTCTAAGTCTTAAGGCCCCTGTGTTGTCCCGGTCCGCGGAACAAGCGATTCGCTGATGCGCTCCACACTTCCCCAAAGCTTCCTTAATCGATGTACTCAAAGAAGATGGGGAAGGTGTAAAGTGTAAACATTCTGTGGCTTCGGAATCCAGAAATAGAGTTGTTTTCGGAGGGTATGTTGGGAACATATCTCAAGACAACCGGCAATTGAATGATTCGGGTGCCGCTCGCAGCCGCAAAAGATTTTGCAGGGTTGGCCGTTATTCGACTTCTAAGAATACATGTTGTTAACCCCTTACAACCTACCATTGTAAGGACCTGCATCTGTATAATGAAATCAAAAAAAGCAACCCTAAAAAGGTTTTCTTCGGGTTAAGGTCGGCCCTCAACCGTTTACCCTAAACCCTAATCCTTAAAGGGGCTTATCCCTAAATACCTAAACCCTAAACCCTAAAGGGGCTTATCCCTGAACCCTAAACCCTAAAGTGGCTTATCTCTAACCCCTAAACCCTAACCCTTGCGGGTTTTGGGTTAGAGCAGGTAAAGGCTTCTGCTTTCCCGCTGGTGTGATGCCGGCGTACAACATCCCTGATGTGGAGGGGAATGCCAGGAACCCAAAAAGGGTTAGGGTTTATAGGGTTTAGGCGTTAGGGTTTAGGGGTTTAGGGTTTCGGGTGTCTCTACCTGCTGTGTTGGTGGAGCATCAGGCATCAGGGCTGATGGTATTGCCGCAGAGTCTTGCAATCCTTCAGCATATGGGTTTAGGGCGGCAGTTGTCTGGTTTGCTGCGTTTGTACGCCCTGAGACCACACCCCAAAATCCAAAGACACAGATCTCAACCACACAACCTTCGACCTCAATCCATGCATCACAAAGCAGTTAAGAAAAAGCATAAGCCCATCGATGGTAACCCAAAGCAAGACCATGCACAGCATAACGTACGAACGCTCGAAATCTGTGCACTTCATCCAATATGCTCGTTTCTTTGGCAAGTTCTTCCAGAGAGCCAATTGGGCGGTTGTCAAAATTATGATCCGTTTCTGGGTCCCTATAATACGGCACCAATTATTTAGGGTGCCCAAAAAGGGACCCTAATTCTGACAACCACCCAATTATACTCCCTAGGAGGGACGAGTTGATTTCAAAGCACAGCGCAGTACCCCCGTCTGATTTCCAGCCAAGGAGCATGCTCGAAATCACATCCCAATACCATCAACATCCTAGGGGCCGTGTATACTGTGGCCCTAGAAACCTACCCGTTTACGGACCGATATATGAGCATAGGGTTAAGGTAATAATGCATCGTTTGCATCCTAACCCGGTGGACTTAGACGGTTTTGGAGTTTAGGGTTTAGGGTTTGGAGTTTAACTTTTCGGGTTTAGGTTCTAGGCTCTGTAGTCCCAACCGTTCATGCGAGTAGTGGATTCCTCCGTAAGGCTCGTCTCCCATGCAACTGCGCTCCGTTGTCCCTGGGTGGCAAATGATACTATGAGCTGGCAGCTGCAAGGCTTTAGGGTTTAATATAGGTGTCTTCATGATTACCTATACTATATCGGGGGGTTCCTTATTATAATTATGATTATAGGATAAGTGGCCCCAAAACCCTAGTCTAATCATATTAAGGCCCCTGTATCAGAGTGTTTTCCAGGAGTGTTTCGGGCTTCCCGTTAGGGACACCCTAAACCCTAAACCGAGGGGCCTTAAGTTCCGGGCCGTGGGTTGTGTTCACGTTTCAGGTAGTGCTTGGAGAGTTTAGGGACTGGCGGCTTCAGGGTTCAGGGTTTAGGGGTTTAGGGTTTAGGGTTTAGGGTTTAGGGTTTAGGGGTTTAGAGTTTAGGGTTTAGGGTTTAGGGGTTTAGAGTTTAGGGTTTAGGGTTTAGGGGAGGCCTTGGAGGAGTTACAGTAGAAGCCTAAAAGTTGGAAACCCGATAGCCTCAATCCTTAAAAGTAATGTATGGGGAATCCCACCTTCCCAACTCTATTTGGCCTTAATCCGGTTTCCATCCTTAAGGGGCTTACTGTAGGGGGTTCAGGGGCTTAGGTGATTCTGCCCTGGAGTTTCGGGCGTCTTTTGGAACTTTTTTATTCTTCAGCTTCTTTGCTCCATAATCCCATCCCTTCACGACAAGTCCCATCCTTCAGCTGAGAGGAAAGCTGAGACTGTGCCTGCAATTGTCATGCAGAACCGGCGGGCCCTGACCCCAACCCTGGGACCGGGCACACACCCAACCAGCACCGGGTCCTAGGTACTGATATGGGGGATACTTCCTCAAATCATATCCTAATATGGAAGCCTACATTCTACTATATGGGTACATTTGGACCCTATGGGAGAGGGTAGTTGGGGCGTCTGTAGGAAGACCGTGCAGCCTTGAGTGAGTGCTCAAGCGCAAAACACAAACGCCAGTTTGGCTAGGAGTAGACAAGTATACAGATGCATATGTAGCTTGTCCCTGGCTGCATGAATGAAGGTATAAATGGTATCTGGAGCCGCTGATGACCGCCGAACAGATCACGGGCATGCATCTAAGCTGCAAGAGGGGACGCAGAGACAGAGAGCCCAACACCCTGGCCCTAGCAGCTGTTGGATGCACCATACATTACACTCATCGCCGGGCTCCCTCTGGTGGTTTGTGGTCAAAACCCTAAACCCTAAACACCAAAAAAGGCCCTCAACAACAAAAAAAGACCTAAATACCTCACTAGCCCCTAGCGGGCTCTTTGGGAACAGGCTCGTCGCGAGATCGTCCAGAATTTGGAAACCCACAGGGGCCCCTTTATGGGTTCACTTTGAGGGCTCCTTTAGTTTAGTTCAAGGGCTCCTTTGAGGGCTCCTGTAGTTCAAAGGCTCCTTTACGAGCTGACTATTTTGATTTAAGGGCCAGTTTGGATTTAGGGTTTAGGGTTTAGGGTTTAGGGTTCCTGTACCATGGGGTTATAAGCTATAGGGCTTCCCTGGCAGTCCAGGCAGGACGCGGCTCCGAAGGTGGAGAGCAAGAACTGTGGCCGCACCATGGGTGGTGACAAGAAGGAATGTGACCCAAGGCCAGGGATCTTCGGGTTTAGGGTTTAGCGTTTACCGTTAGGGATTTTCAGGTTTAGGGTTTTTAGGGTTCAGGGGTTGTGATCAGAAATCACAGTCGCAGAATCGTCGGAAAAAATTTCAAGCAAAACGACACTCAAAGTCAATGTGTATGTGCTTGGCTCTGGTGGTAGGGGGAAGGCTTGCGGGATCTTGGTTGACCGTAACTCTTGTATCGGGATTTTAAGGGTGCGCTGTCGGGAGTTACAAGGGGCTCTGTAGCTTCTACAAGAGGCTTCGGGTTTCAGTATTGGGTCGATCGGTCAGGGCTTCGAGTTTGCGCTGTGGGTAGAACTTTCAGCTGCCCTCTGCTACCTACAGGTCATTGAAGGGGAAGTTAGAGCCAGGTTCTGCTAGTTGGACAACTCTTTTGAAACCCTTTCAGCGACTTCATCACTGCAAGACCTATACGGTTTAGGGTTTAGGGTCTATCTAAAGCCCCCTGCAGAAGCCCCCTGATTCGTGTGCAGGACCGTTGGAGGCTGCGTTTGGACGAAGGAGGCGCCATGAGCAAGGCTGTTCAGGCGACAAGGTTGTAGCATTCTAATGTTGAGATTGCAGGGGGTGCAGCGTTTAAGGTTGTAGCCTTGTGGAGCTCGAGCGGTTTGGCGATTGGGGTTGAAGCTCCCATGCTCTTGAGATCAGGGTTACAGGTTTAGGGTTTGAGTTCTGGTTCAAGATTTCAGGATCCGTGCTTTCTGAGTCAGAAGCGGAAGTCCTGTAGGTGATCTCCCAAGTGAGGCTTGAGAAATACCCTAAACCCTAAGTCCTAAACCCTCAACCTAAAACCTTAGACCCTACGCCCTAAACCCTGTGGGTGCAGGCTTATAGCTCGGAGCTTCTCTGACTCTATGACAGGGTTTAGCTTCGGGCTTCCGATTTAGCGGGTTTGGGTCTAAGGAGTGGCTTTTTGTTTAAAATACGTCATCCCGTCACCCGTAAAAGTTCCCAAACTCTAAGCTTGGCGAGATTCTGCCGCCATCTCTAGATCTATGCAGGGTACGTATCTGGGGGCTGCTATAAGGGTATGAAATATTACGGGGGGGGCTGCTGCCTTGCTACAACCGGGCCCTGGACTCTCAAACCCCAAACAGTCCCTGAAGGGATGTGTTCGCTGACTTGGGATCCCACAATGCGAATGATGAGTGTACTTGGAGTCCAAGAGAAAGCCCAGCTGTACCTTGAACCTAAACTACTAATTACCTTCCTGAGCCTTCTTTGACGCTAAGTCGTACTCAGTTTTCCCTTCGACTCGAAAATCGAAAGCCCCCATGCCCGTTAGAGCTGGGCTCTGCGAAGCTGACGCAGGCTTGAGGGCCGGCTCATAGGGTTCGGCTGCCAACACCAGCCCTAAACTCCAACCCAGAACGACCTCTAATCTAGGGGCCTCAAAAGTTGCCAGTACTAGTCCTTCGGGCTCCGTAGTACCATGGTTTCCAATATGCGCGAAACCCTGTTCCAACTGCCAGGGCTGGCGGCTAAGGCCTCCATATTATGATCATTCTTCCCGGAAGATCCGCTGGTGCCCCGAACAGTTAAGAAACCATGCCAACATATCGCTATAGCCCTGCTTTTAAGCGGCAAAAGCAGCCGCGAGCCTTCAAGCAACCCTTCAAACTTCAAAAAAAAACCACAACAGCTTCTAACCCCCTATGAGTGCATGCAGGATTTGGCGAAAGATCCGACGTACTGGGAAGGCTTCACACCCACATACTGGGAGAAGCAGAAAACGCTCCCTGCCAAAAGGGGTTTCGGGTTAAGGCTTAAAGCTCGCGAACAGAATTGAATATGGTTTTGGGTTACGTTAATTATGCACCCAGAGAGCCCCATAATTCAACTAACGAACATAGCTTCAATCATAGTATGAAGTCCCTTCGAATTGACGGTATTTTCCGCAAGTAAGGGGTATCGGGTGCTCTGGTAAGGACTACGTAGGGTTTGGGGTTTCTATGGGGACAGGTAGTGATTCGCTTCAACCCCAATACCGACTCCCTCAGTCCCACGATCCTTCAAGTGAGCATCAGGCTTTCAATCCAAACCTAGGTAGCGCTCTGGGATATTTCATTTTTCCCCTTATTGGGCTTTATAGGACCCTATCTACGAATATTTTTCAGAGGCTTTGAAGGGCCAACCTAGAAACATTACGTATTGGTTTGTTACGGTTCAAAGGGGGGGGCGGGTCTAGATCAGGGTTTCATGACGTTAAGGGTTCAGGGCTTGCTTCAGCTTCACCCCGTGACTTTGAAGCCGTTCTTGGCTGTAAACTCAACTTTTCAACTTTGGGGGTTCTTCTTTAAGGTAGTCGATTCTGAAAGTTTCAACTTGTATTTCCTTGGGTTTTGGGCCAGTGAGACTAAACCAGTGCAGCCCGAACCGAACCAAAGAGGGTACTATAGGGCCGGAAGAATTGCAGGGCCCCCCCTCGCAGTCCTTATATATTCTTTTGCCAGCAAGTACCCCAACCCCGTCCTTAACCATAAAGGCCCCAATATATGGGAGTTTCCGAAAATGGGGGACCCTAATATAATACCCTAAATAGTAGGTCCTTATTATAGGGACCCCCAAATAAGGTACCCCCTAATTTCGGAAACTCCCATATGAACGTCGGGCTATTATGTCTTTCAAGCTCCAGGGGTTTCTGTTGCGTGTTGCAGATGGACACAATCCTGCATGCTTCCCACAACGCGGAATGCCCCACGATTCCCAAAGTCTGTACTTCTAAAGCAATGATGGGTTTTGCTCGGCAGCATGTGTGTCGTCGTTTAAAAAAGGGTGCATTGGCCAATGAATGTAAGCAACCGTAGGCACACTAAACCCTAAACCCTAAACCCTAGGTCTAGAGCGTCATGGTTTAGGGTAAAGGTTGGCTCGTCAGGAGCACCTTGAGCCCATTTTGAGCAACCCTGAACTCCCGACTAGGAGGTCAAACAGGCAACGAGTAGACCTATAAGTACCCTGAAAGGAATCCTCATTTGGGGGTGTGATACATTAATAAGTCTATAAAGAAGTAGCTACTTACGAAGTCCCCCCTGACCCTCCAAGGACACCCTACATCGTTCCAGCAAGTTAGATCCCCCGTGGTTGCATGGCTTGCTGCATTCTTGGGGCTGATCATGGGATTCCGACTGTTAGTTTTGAAGTTTGGGGGTTCTTCTTTAAGGTAATGTATTCTGAAAGTTTCAACTTTTATTTCCTTGGGTTTGGGGCCAGTGAGACTAAACCCGTGTAGACACCCAACCAAACCAAAGAGGGTACTATAAGAATTGCAGGCCCCCCCCTCGTATAGTCCCTATATATTCTTTTACCAGCACGTAGTCCAACCGTGTCCTTAACTAGTATTGAAGGCCCCGATATGTAAGCGTCGGGCTATTATGTCTTTCAGGCTCCAGAGGTTTCTGTTGCGTGTTGCAGATGGACACAATCCTGCGCTGCTTCCCACAACGCGGAATGCCCCACGATTCCCAAAGTCTCTACTTCTAACGCAATGATGGGTTTTGCTCAAGGAGCTACTTACGAAGCCCCGTATGGTATATCCCTTACTAATATATTATGGGTAATAATGCAGGATTTATATCATCAACCGTAGTTCGGATGCTCTCCAAGGCAGTCCAAGTGAGTGATTTTCCGCACCTCCGTTTGCGTGCATAGAGCCCGGACACGGGAGATCGATGAGTAAAGAGATAACTCTAGGGTGGCTTGGTCTTATAGGATCTTCAGACGTGCTTTAGACAGGCTTCCTTTTTATAAGCTTAGGGATGCTTGCGGGTATTTCGGGGTGTGGCTTGTTCGGAGCGAAGTATCCGAAGGCCGCTCAAAGTCTTTTCTCATGCAAGTCGCATGGTGATCACCATGTGCGGTGATCCTCCGAAGGCCGTTGATCGTGATTAAACACCACCCAGACATATAAGCTTGCCAAGACTTCCGCTGAGGCACATAATAAACAGCTACCTGAGGAAGGCCGTTCGATACTTGTCAAACACATGTATCTGTGCATACGTATATACATACACTGCCATGTACAGGTTAGGCATATGCAGACTGTTGCACACGTCCTATTCTCTGGCTTACACAATCGGCCATTTGGCAGGACTGACTGGGTTAGCGAAAGCTCTGCTAAAGAATTCTGCAAAGGAAATTGATATGGTGGCCTTGATAATTAGAGTAGGGTGTTGGGGTAGAGTCTGCATGGGGACTATGACGGGATAGTGTTGCTACATATTCCGTCGCCTACATTAAGCAAACGTTTGTGCCTATGGTAGATAGGCAGGCTGGTAGGCACACAGGTGCTAGGTTGGTTGGTTGGTATGTCGGCAACCGCTCTGCTTCCGTCACTTAGACGTCAAAGTCCCAAGCCCTTGAGAATTCAGGCTAGAACCAGCGAGGGCCGCAGGGCTTCAGCGGGTCTGCAACTCTCATGGCATTCCTGAAGGTCAGGATGTCTGAAGAGTTTACGGACAGACGGATACTTGTCAAGAAAGACCCGGCTTTTAGGGCTTTCGGGCTTTTTGGGTTTCAGGGCTTAGGGTTTAAGAGGTTTCGGGTTTAGGGCTTTAGTGTCTAGGGTTTAGGAGTTGAGGGTGAACCCTAAACGCGCTAAACCCTGAACTGACTACACTGGTCGCTGCCTGAGACCGTCGGCCCCAGGATCAACGGCCCCGACTCGAGCCTCAAAGTTGCTCGAAGGTTCAGAGTGGTAAGTCGTTACAAAGACATTGACATTTATGGTTTAGGGTTTAGGGTTTAGGGCATGCCAACACCAACATAGTAACAACAACGAAGAGGATAGACAAAAATATGAAAAGACTAACGACAACACTAGCCACAGGCAAGAATAACGATAGCATGACCAAGTCAAGTGACAGCGACAGCGGTTGCGCTTGCAGCAAAAGCCGAAACAGGAGCCACAAGCAGCGCTAGACATGTTCAGTGTTGTTCTATGTCTAGTGGTCTTGGTCGACATGTATTCAGCAACACTCTGCTCACTTTATGGAGATTCATGAGCATTTACAGAAATGTTTATTCACCCAGGTTGGTGTTGCCATTACTTGCCCCGCCACCCCCTCCCACCCACAACCAGAGACCCAAACCCTATACAGTACATACCTTCATACCTCAAAGCCCAAAAACTTAATCCAGAGTCATGTGTGCACGTACCCAGGAACCTTCATGTGCAGGCTCACAACTTTTTGAAGTTCCGATGGCCATTTGGTCTGTCCTACTGGCCTTGTGCCAGGCTTTTATGGGTGCCCAACAAAGGCACCTAAGCATAAACATATTGACACTTAAAACCCCAACCAAACCCCTAGACTCTCAAACCCCTAAACCCAACAAAAAATCCTAGACTCTCCCTTGCCGCCCCCCCAAAAAAATTGTAAAAAGGGGGTTTCTCAGGACTTATACATCATTCATTGCCCCCCTCCGCTGTTATTTCACATTCTAACACGCCTTCTTCGTTTTCATCATCACATTCACCTTATTCATTATTCGGAGGGGGATTCTAGGGGTTATTTACCAATATTGCCTTTTTACCCTCCTATTTCAGCACTTTTTCATCATTCATTCTACCCTCATTCATTTTTCACACTCACTCCCTAACATTCATTCCAATTCTCATAACATCGTCCTTCATTCATTTCTCCTATTTTTCATCCTACTTTTCCAAAGCTCCCTAACAATATTCTTACCAAAGCTCTTATTACTTGAAGTCCTTAAACATCATATTAATTAATTAAATTTGATGGTTATCTAATCCATTTCATCTAAATTTAAATACCTATTGTTATGTCTTTCAATATAAGCGTTTCTTTCTTCTTCTGTCAAATCCCAATAAGTGTTTAATGGTTTTGATTTCTTCACTTTCTGTTGTTTGCTACTTACTTCTTCTAACTGCTCCCATAATTTAGATTTTACTTTTTCATCTTTTTCATTGTTCCATTTATCACTAATTGTTTCAAATTCTTCATTAAGCTTATGACTTTTACTATTAAGATGTCTGTTAAAATTTTCTTTTCTAAAAAGTGCTGTTCCTTCAAATATTCTACATATATCACACTCAACAAAGCGACATAGTGCCTCTTTCTTCATTTTTTCCTCTTAATATTATATGGCTTTTTGTCTTTAAGTGATTTTTGTTTTAGGTTTCGTGTTGGCTACACTACTTCAAATTTTATTTCCATAATTCAATAATATCTTTACAACGTTTGATAATCTTCAACTTACAGCTTTTGTCAGATATCAATTTTGACAAGTCAAAACAGCACGATGACTTTTTATTAAGCCACATAACAAGTTCTTCTAAATTATCTTCATCTAATGCTTCTATTCTAAGTAAATATTGTCTATGTCCTCATTTAATTCTTCAAGTTCAATTTCATATATTTTCAATTCTTCTTCTTTCTCCTTAATACGTTTCTCACTCATTTCACTAATATTATAGGGCTTTTTGTCTTTAAGTCATTTTATATTTTCAATCAACTAACAACAACTCGTGCCTATTATAGTGCTTTTCCCGACCTTCCAAAAGATAATATTTATTAAGTTGTGGGTCTCGTTTTACTTCTTTAACTTCATAACTCCTTTCAGACCATTGACTGCGTGTCTCCTTCCTGCTGGTATAGTTGCCTTTTCCTTTATCAAATATTTTAACCTTATCTCCGACTTCAATCTTTGGATATCTCCTTAAATACTTTTCTTTCAACACTGTGTTAGCCTTAACTTCCACAGAATTTTTATCAAGGTGAGCTTCATCTGGTATCATTCCAGTTGTTGAATGAACCATCTTCTTATTATACTTATCCATAACAGGTTTTAATAATATAGTCCAAGCACCTTTTGTTTGTAAAGCTCTATCACCGATCATTTTCTTAAAGGTGCGAATAACGCGCTCGGCTGTGTTCGCGTGAGTTAGTGTTACGATGTGAGTTATGCCCTCACCTTTGAAATAATCCTGCAATTTCTTATAATTGAACGCTCCATCGTGGTCGGTATAAATACTTTGTGGTTGTCCTAATACTTTGAAACATTCTAGAAAAGCTTTATAAACATCTTCTCCATCTTTGTTTTCCATCGGCACAACGTGTGTCTTTTTACTGAAATTATCAATACAAATCAAACCATAACGCTTATAAGTTTCTTTAAAGGTGTCAGTGTCTTTCATCAAGCTAGTCATATCCATAATATCAATAGAATAAACAGCTCTCGCAAAAGGAGGTGAATAACTGTTTGAATTTTTATAATTCCTTCGTTGTTTGTTAGGTTGTTTTTTAACCCACTCCTTAACTTCATCTAGCGTTATTACAATACCTTTTTCTTTTGCTTGGTTGTAAAGGTCTTTAACTGAACCATAGCCTGACTCAAGGTCATAATACAGCTCACTCAAAACATCTTCTTTACTCATATTTAATATTAATAAGATTTTATTAATATTAAATCATCCGAATAGCACCTTTCTTACAATTCTTTCTCCTAATTCTACTTGTCTCCTTTCTTCCGAAAGTCTTTGACATTTTAAGCTTTTGTGGTGCTTACTTCTTATTGTATTTGTTGATAACATACTACCACATCTCTCACATTCGTATTCGTGACTGTTGCTTTTAAAGTAATTCTTAAAATAACCTTCTTCTCTATATTTAGCATTCAAACGGTCATTATGAGCTTTCTTCCTCAACCTCCGTTGATTTTGTAGCTCTTCGTTTGACTCAATTGAGTTCCACATCGCATCAAATAGGTCTTCATCAATACATAATTTTTCTCCGTTTTCTGCAACTAGAAAGGAATTCATCTATCTTATCTAATAAATATAAATATTTCTTTAAGTGATTTTTCTTTTAGGATAAAATCATTTGAAAGAAATATTTATTTATCTACTTCTTCCTGATGAACTCCTTGACCTTATGTATTCAATAGTCCTTTCCGAACTGGTAACACTAACGGGCGGGGAACTTTGTAAATATTCAACTGTTCTATCAGAGGGCACTGAACTTTGAACCGTTTCCGGAGGGCTGGATTGAACGTATTCACTCAATGCTCCTTCTTCAACGGGCAGTAACGCACTTCTTCCTGAACTTCGTCTAGAACTTGATGAAGATGATGATGGCTCATAAGATTTCTTAACATTCATTGGTAAAGAAGAACTACTCGCTTGGCTTTCTTCTGTTGCTACACGCTCCATATTATCCTCTTCTTCTTCTTCTCTTTGCTGTCGTTGCTCCCTCATTCTTCGTAATTCTTCTCTTCCTTCTTCGTATTCATCATTTCCAAACATACTATCAATCATTCTTCTCATTATGCTTCTTTCGTTTTGTCTTTCTGTTCCCCTCTCAACTGATTTATCACTGCTTCTTATACTAGATGCTTCACTAACTTCTTCTTTAAATGCTTCTTCTGGCGTTCTCATACTTTCACTAGCAGAAGAATTTGAAGATGAAGTTAAATTAAAATCCGTCTGTGTTGCTTTATCTGGTTTATCATTATCATTATTATTAATATTCATTCTCTTATCATACTTACTCAAATCAAACTCTTCAAAATCAACATCATCAATAAATATACCTTGCTGTGTTCGTGTCTGTCTTTCTGGTAATATCTTTAACCTTGTAGTTCTGGCTTCCTTTAACA